TCTATCTATCCTTCTACCCATTCATTAAATCTATGTATCTATTTGTCCTTTTATCCTTCTATCATCTATCCTTCTATCATCTATATATCTATCTACCTATCCTATCGATCTGTCTATCTAATCTATTTACCCTATCTATCTATCCTATCTGCTATCTATCTACCCTACCCTACCCTACCCTATCTATCTATCTATCTATCTATCTATCTATCTATCTATCTATCTATCTATCCTATTTATCTATCGACTTTATGAATCTATCTCTCCAGCAATCTAAGACTATAGCATACAATTAATAAAATCAATGATTATGTTGAACATTGCATCTATTCCCAATATACTATCCACAACTAAACCCTAAAACGAAACCCTCTCCCAGTTATAGGCTGAGGCCGGTCAGCTTCAGCTACCTACAGGCTATGCGCTTTGCGGTGGAGGAGATCAACAACTCCAGCACCCTGCTCCCGGGACTCTCCTTGGGCTACGAGATCTTCGATGTCTGCTACCTGACCAACATCATCCAGCCGCTCTTCTACTTCCTCTCCGACGATCAATTGAGAGTCGAGGTCAAGCGGGACTACAGCGACTCCAAGACCCGAGTGGTGGCGGTCATCGGCCCTGACGCACCCTCCACCGCCGTCACCGCCGCTTACCTCCTGAGCCAGTTCTTGGTGCCGCAGGTGAGCTGCATCCTCCCTGTTCGAACCTGTTGTGAATACATTGTGAACTGTAAAAAATGTTATTTCATCTGGGTTGTCGTAGATTTTTGCGGTCTATATGGCCATGTTCTAGAGGCATTCTCTCCTGACGTTTCGCCTGCATCTATGGCAAGCATCCTCAGAGGTAGTGTTGGAACTGGGAAAATGGGTTTATATATCTGTGGAATGACCAGGGTGGGACAAAGAACTCTTGTCTGCTGGAGCTAGGGGTGAATGTTTCAACTGACCACCTTGATTAGCATTGCTTGGGGCAATCTTTTGTTGAGAGATGATTAGATGTCCCTGATTGTTTTCCCTCTGTTGTTTTGCTATTGTAATTTTAGAGTTTTTTTAATACTGGTAGCCAGATTTTGTTCATTTTCATGGTTTCTTCCTTTCTTGTTGTATTGTATTTTATTGATGTATTGATGCCGGCATCGAATTGTGCCTTTGTAAGCAGCTCTGAGTCCCTGCCGGGGTGAGAAGGGTGGGGTAGAAGTGTCTGAAATAATGAAATAATAATAATTTCTGTTGGAATTGTCCACATGCTTGTGGATTTCAATGGCTTCTCTGTGTAGTCTGACATGGTGGTTGTTGGTGTGGTCCAGCATTTCTGTGTTCTCCAATAATATGCTGTGTCCAGGCTGGTTCATCAGGTGTTCTGCTATGGCTGACTTCTCTGGTTGAAGTAGTCTGCAGTGCCTTTCATGTTCCTTGATTCGTGTCTGGGCAATTCTGCGTTTGGTGGTCCCTACGTAGACTTGTCCACAGCTGCATGGTATACAGGAGACTTCTGCGGAAGCGAGAGGGTCCCTCTTGTCCTTTGCTGAACGAGCATTGGTTAGATTTTCTTGGTGGGTCTGTAGATAGTTTGTATGTTGTGTTTCCTCATCAGCTTCCCTCTGCGGTCAGTGGTTCCCTTGATGTCTGGCAAGAACACTTTTCCTCTGGGTGGATCTTCGTCTTTACTCTCGTGGCTTGTCCTCAGTTGTCTTGCAGCTCTTCTGATGTCTGAGGTGGAGTCTCCATTGGCCTGGAGAGCCCAGTTGAGGGGGGTCAGTTCATCTAGGAGGAGGTGGGCTTCGCAGATTCTTTTTGTACTGTCTGCCAAAGCTTTATGGTGCAGGCCAATCGAGACTCCACCTCAGACATCAGAAGAGCTGCAAGACCGAGAACAAGTCACCAACTGTAATTTCTGGGCCGTATTCAAGGGCAGCCCCAAGTAGAGTGCATTACAGTAGTCCAATCTGGAGGTGACTAAGCCATGGACCACCCTGGCCAGGTCCGCCTTCACGAGGTATGGTCACAGCTGGCGCACGAGTCTTAATTGTGCGAAGGCTCTCCCGGCCACTGCCAACGCCTGAGCTTCAAGCGTAAGTTATGAGTCTAGGAGGACACCCAAGCTGCGGACCTGTGACTTCAGGGGGAGTGTAACCCCGTTCAGCACAGGTTGTCACCCTATACCCTGATCCGGCTTACGATCGACCAGGAGGACCTCTGTCTTGTCGGGATTAATCTTCAGCTTGTTCCTCCTCATCCAGACAGTCACAGCGGCCAGGCACTCGTCCAGCACCCGAGGGGCTTCCTTGGAGTTAGGTGGAAAAGAGTAGTAGAGTTGCCAAAGCTGTGCCACGTCTCTTTCCCCCTCGCTCTCCAGATCACCTACAGCGCAACCACGGAGGCCCTGAGCAGCCCCAAAACCTTCCCGGTGGCCTTCCGCACCATCCCCAGCACAGAGCAGCAGATCACCTTGTTGCTGAACCTGATGAAGTACTTCCGGTGGAACTGGGTCATCGTGCTCTCCAGCGAAGACGAGTACGGGCAGCAGAACGCGCAGCTGCTGCGCAGCAAGATCGGGACGACGTATTCCGAGGTGGGGACATATATCGCATGACTCTCTCTGTGGTTAAGGATTCTATGACCCTTTCACATTGCGCAATTGAAATTTGAAATGATGGAATTGAACCAAACTTGCCACACAGAATTCCCATGACCAACAGAAAATACTGGGAGGGGTTTGGTGGGCATTAACTTTGAGTTTGGGAGTTGTAGTTCACCTACGATTCCTCTCTAAAGTGTATATATACGTACCTGTTCCAAACAAATTCAACTTAGGAACAAATCTACAGAATCTCTCTTCTTTATTTATTTATTTATTTATTTGCTTTATTTCTATACCGCATTTTTCAGCCCAAACAGGCGACTCAATGCGGTTTACATGGTACAATTATCAAACAGTGTCAGTGCAATTAAAACATAACAATGCAACAAACAGGATCAACAGCATCAATCCACAACAGTTAACAATCAACAAGACAGATCAACAAAACAGACATAACATAACGCCTCAGTTGAAATCAGATCCGTTCTCATAATCCTTGTGCCATTCCTATGTTCCATTTACCGTCTTCCTATGATTGGTTGCACTGCTTAACCAAACGCTTGTTCCTAAAGCCAGGTCTTAACCATTCTCTGAAATGTCAGCAGCGAAGGTGCCTGTCTGATGTCTGCCGGTAGGGCATTCCATAGCCGAGGGGCCACCACCGAGAAGGCCCTGTCTCTCGTCCCCGCCAAGCGCGCCTGTGACGCAGGCGGGATCGAGAGCAGGGCCTCCCCAGACGATCTTAATGTTCTGGTCGGTTCATAGGTGGAGATGCGTTCGGAGAGGTAAGCAGGGCCAGAACCGTTTAGGGCTTTATAGGCTAAAGCCAGCACCTTGAATTGTGCCCGGTAGCGGATTGGCAGCCAGTGTGTTACGGGTGTGTCCCCGATTTCCAGGATTTCAAGAGATCAGTGAGAAAGGAAGAGACAGAGACAGCTTTTGCAAGTTCACAGAATTTAATGCTTACCCGGGTAAGGGTGCCCCAGCTTCTCCAAATGGCTGATGTGGCACAGAGCACTACCCCAAAAGCATCCAGTATTTATAGGCAGAATTACTTAGTTTGCACATGCGCATAATTCTCTTGACATTTACACAATCTAATCAATATCAGTTTGTCCTCGAGGAATCGCAGCCAAGAACACTTGTTGGCAAGATACTATAATTTCCACTGCTCCCCTTTCATCAGCTGACCTGCCACGTTCCCAGATGAATTACATAAAAGTGAATCTTAACTTCATATATCTCTTCACACATATATGACTCCATATATCTTCATATATGTATCTTTAACTTATTCAAAGCAAGCATTTCCCTTATTAATTCTTCTGTAATTACTTTCACCTTATTTTCCTATATTCTAAGGATTGTTCATAGGACTGAATTACCTGCTATTTACATCAGATGGAGGATAGATGGCGCTGTTGTACCATATCTTCAGATGTTTGTTTTTCTTGGATCAATAATTATCGATTTACTTTTAGAGCCAATTCTCTGACCTTCCACATTTAGCACATAGCCGTCCTTCTATTTATTTACTTAAGATATGGTTTCTCCTGCCTTGTCCCAGTCCTGTTCCATCTGTCAATTTCCCTTCCACCAGAATTCTACCCCCACACCTTAAGAAAACCTTTAAGGTAAGACTTCTTCATTAATTTCTAATTATTTTTCTTCCTAATGACTGCCACAAGTGGAGCTGGTTCAGCAGAGGAGTGGTATGCTCCCTGAGTGCCGCTCCCGTTAGCAACCTGGCTGCCGAGCGCTGGACCATCTGAAGCTTCCGGGCAGTCTTCAAGGGCAACCCCACGTAGAGCGCGTTGCAGTAATCAATCTTCATATCTTGGGGCCCCTGGGCCACTGTCTGTAAGCTTGGGCCACTGTCTGTATCTGTAAAGCAGTGTTTCTCAACCTTCTTGATGCCGCGACCCCTTAATACAGTTCCTCATGTTGAAGTGACCCCCAGCCATAACATTATTATCATTGCAACTTCATAACTGTAATTTTGCTACTGTTACGAATTGTAATATCTGAGATGAAGAATGTAGTTTCATTCACTAGACCAAATTTGGCACAAATACTCGATATGACCAAATTTGGATACTGGTGGGGTTGGGGGGGGATTGATTCTGTTATTATTAATATACCAAATACCTTTTATATTATTATTAAGACATATTATTAATATTATTAATACCATAGGAAGGATTTGGAATTTTTGGATGCTTGTTAGAAGTATTATTTTTTCATTATTATTATTATTATTATTATTATTATTATGCAATAATATTATTAGTGATACTATTACTATTATGAATAATAATTATTATTAAGTATTATTATTATTGATACATAATAATAATATTCCAAATCCCTTCTATATTATTAAAACGAAAAACTATGGGGTCAGTTTCGTTTCTGAAACTTATCGCCTACGTATCGGATATCGCCTCGTAAGTATGAATTTAACAAATTTGATCCGAATTACGAGGACAAACGAAAGTAATGCACACCCCATATATATCTATATATATAAAATGCTCTGTGCATCATGAGTAACTTAAAAACAAAAGAACCAATGAACGAAATCACACCAAATTTGGCAATAAAGCGTCTCACAACACAAGGAGTGACCATCACTCAAAAAATTAGGATTTTGTCATTTGGGAGTTGTAGTTGCTGGGATTCATAGTTCACTTACAATCAAAGAGCATTCTGAACTCCACCAATGATGGAATTGAACCAAACTTGGCACGCAGAACTCCCATGACCAACAGTAATACTGGAAGGGGTTTGGTGGGCATTAACCTTGAGTTTGGGAATTGTAGTTCACCTACATCCAGAGAGCACTGTGAACTCAAATAATGATGGATATGGACCAAACTTGGCACGAATACTCAATATGTCCATATATGCCACTGGTGGAGTTTGGTGGAAAACAGACATTGACATTTGGGAGTTGTAATTGCTGGGATTTATAGTTCACTTACAATCAAAGAGCATTCTGAACTCCAGCAATGATGGAATTGAACCAAACTTGGCACACAGAACTCCCATGACCAACAGAAAATACTGGAAGGGGTTTGGTGGGCATTAACCTTGAGTTTGGGAGTTGTAGTTCACCTACGTCCAGAGAGCATTGTGGACTCAAACAATGATGGATCTGGACCAAACTTGGCATGAATATTCAATATGCCCAAATGCAAACACTGGTGGAATTTGGGGAAAATAGACCTTGACATTTGGGAGTTGTTGTTGCTGGGATTTGTAGTTCACCTACAATCACAGAGCATTCTGAACCCCACCAATGATAGAATTGGGCCAAACCTCTCACACAGAACCCTCATGACCACCAGAGTGGGCCACAGCAACACGTGGCAGGGGATGGCTCGTAATAATATGAAAATATATTAATGATCATCATATAATAATATGATAAAATCATAATAATATAATAATACTAATGTAATGGTAATGGTAATAATATGATAATGATAATAAAAATACAATAACAATATAATATATAAGAATGATAATATAATAATATAATGATAATATGTTAATATAATAATGTAATAGAATGATAATATAATAATGATGATCATATAATAATATGATAAAATCATAATAATATAATGATACTAATATAATGATAATATGATAATAATGACATGATAATGATAATAGAAATACAATATTAATATATATAAGAATGATAATATAATAATATAATGATAATATGGTCATCTATATAAATAAAAATGTAATGTACTCAATATGTCCAAATATATGCCACTGGTGGAGTTTGGTGGAAAACAGACATTGACATTTGGGAGTTGTAATTGCTGGGATTTATAGTTCAAGCAAAGAGCATTCAGAACCCACCAACAATAAAATTGGGCCAAACTTCCCACACAGAACCACCATGACCAACAGAAAATGCTGTATTGTTGAAGGCTTTCATGGCCAGAATCACTGGGTTGTTGTGGGTTTTTTCGGGCTATATGGCCATGTTCTAGAGGCATTCTCTCCTGACGTTTCGCCTGCACCCGGGTCATCCACAGATATATAAACCCATTTTCCTACTTCCAACAGACCTCACTACCTCTGAGGATGCTTGCCATAGATGCAGGCGAAACGTCAGGAGAAAATGCCTCTAGAACAGTGTTTCTCAACCTGGGGGTTGGGACCCCTGGGGGGTTGCAAAGGGGTGTCAGAGGGGTTGCCAAAGACCATCAGAAAACACAGTATTTTCTGTTGGTCATGGGGGTTCTGTGTGGGAAGTTTGGCCCAATTCTATCATTGGTGGGGTTCAGAATGCTCCTTGATTGTAGGTGAACTATAAATCCCAGCAAGTACAACTCCCAAATGTCAAAGTCTATTTTCCCCAAACCCCATCAGTGTTCACATTTGGGCATATTGGGTATCCGTGCCAAGTTTGGTCCAGATCCATCATTGTTTGAGCCCACAGTGCTCTCTGGATGTAGGCGAACTACAACTCCCAAACTCAAGGTCAATGCCCACCAAACCCTTCCAGTATTTTCTGTTGATCATGGGAGTTCTCTGTGCCAACTTTGGTTCAATTCCATTGTTGGTGGGGTTTAGAATGCTCTTTGATTGTAAGTGAACTATGAATCCCAGCAACTACAACTCCCAAATGACAAAATCAATCCCCCCGCCAACCCCACCAGTATCGTTTTTGGTGACCCCCAGGTTGAGAAGCACTGCTGTAAAGGCTTGCTGAGAATCTCTGGAGAAAAAGGGATCTGGGAGATATAGCTCTTCAGTAGCAGCTGATGTCGTTCGTAAGTTGCGGGCTGCCTGTATTAGAATCATAGAATCAAAGAGTTGGAAGAGACCTCATGGGCCATCCAGTCCAACCCCATTCTGCCAAGAAGCAGGAATATTGCATTCAAATCACCCATGACAGATGGCCATCCAGCCTCTGTTTAAAAGCTTCCAAAGAAGGAGCCTCCACCACACTCTGGGGCAGAGAGTTCCACTGCTGAACGGCTCTCACAGTCAGGAAGTTCTTCCTCATGTTCAGATGGAATCTCCTCTCTTGTAGTTTGAAGCCATTGTCTCCAAGGAAGGTTTCGTGGATCTGCGTGGCTTTTCAGGAGACCATCCCAGTCCAAAAAGACAACCAACAGGAGCCCGACGGTGCCACGCTACAGCGGTTCCAGTTGATCATCACCAAAATCAAGGGCAACTCGGCCAAAGTGGTGATCGTCCTGAGCACGGAGCTGTCCCTCCTCCCCTTCTTTAGGGAAGTAATCAACCAGAACCTAACTGGCCTGGTGTGGGTGGCATCCGAAGCCTGGGCCACTGACCTCTCCATCTTCAGCATGCACAATATCTCCAGCATCGGTTCCGTCTTTGGCGTGGCGGTGCAGGACGTCCCCATCCCGGGGCTGGACGAGTTCCGCATCAAGTCACCGAAGGTCAGAGAAGCCGCCCCGCCGATGTGCAACCAAGAATGCGATGACTGCCTGTTGATCACGCGGCGCTATGATGCCAGCATCCGGGCCGCCGGCAACCGCATCGATTTCAACGTCTACTCCTCTGTCTATGTTGTTGCCCATGCTTTGCACGCCTTGCTGGGCTGCAATAAAACTGGATGCTCCAAGCAGACCTTTTACCCCTGGCAGGTGAGTGCCACATGCATGTGTTGGGGTTCAGCACGAGTTTGAACTTGAACCTGATTCTCTGTTTGTTCCTCCTGATGCTAATGAAAATATATTTACTGATGCTAATGAAAATGTACCTCTTGATGCCAAATGCTCCTGAAATTAGTGAGGAAGAAACTTCTGTAGGTTTGGAATATGCCAATGTTCCTGAAATTAGTGAGGAAGGAAGTTCTGTAGATTTGGAAAATGAAAGTACCAGTGTTCATGAGAATGTTTCAGAGGGAAGCCATGACCTTTCACTCCCTTCTGCACCTGATAACTTTAATGAGAACAGAAGGGGCCAGATTTGGCAAGACAGAAGTAAATCACTCAGCTTGCGAAGGTCTTCCCGATTAAAAGAAATACAAACAATGGCTTCAAAGCAGAGGGGCGGTTCACGGAACCAATTCTTTGGCTTGAAGTGCCTTCCGCCGGGCTGACTTTCTCAGTTCAGGCATCGTTTCAGATTGATGAAGACCTTGGCAGTTCTCCCGGTTTCCCTGGCCATGGTCTTGAAAGATTTCTAGGATATCAAGTACGGTTAGTGGATTGCTAACAGGTTCCAGTATTTTACAGTGTGGCTTTGGGTTTTGCTTTGTCCATTTAAATTCATGTTTGCTGATTTTGCTGTGGCTTTTGACTTGCATTTTTCCTTTATTTTGTAACCATTTTTCTTCAATAAAAAAGGATTGTTTTTCACAATCAAGTGTGGTGGATAGTTATCTTAGGGTCTCGTTCCCTGCTCTGGATTGCAACAGCATGTACCTTCAACGATGATATCATGCTATGTGTTTTACAGGTTTCCACAATGTTGTATTACTATGGGTGACTCTTCCACTTGAAAGTCCCTACCTGAGGTTGCTCTTGCACATCTTTTTGTCATTCTTACGTACCACGGCCCTATTTTCCCACAGTTTGAAGACTTTGGATGACTCCTCCACTTGATAGTCCCAACCTGAGCTTGATAGTCCTCCACTCGATTGTCCCAATCTGAATTTCTGTGAATCCCATCAATTTGATCGGTCTGCTCAGGCTGGGATCACCTGAGAGATCTGCATAAATAGCTGGAGCTTGGAATAGCTGGTTGCTGGTAGCAACGTCAGTGTTGGGAGCTGCAAACCATGCTGGCTCTCCCAGCCTAAGCAGACCGATCGAATTGATGGGATCCACAGAAACCACTCTCTCTCATCCTCAGAGGGCTGAGTTCCAGGGCCAGAGAAGCAGAAAAATGTATAATATCACAAAGGACGACCACCTCACCCGCCTCATAGGCAACCTGCTACAAAACAGGAGATTTTTTATTGAGTTCCAGGGCCAGAGAAGCAGATGGCGGAAACAGAAGAACGGCCTGCCTCAGGGGAGCGTGCTTGCTCAATCCATGTTCAACATCTACACAAATGACCAGCCACTGCCAGAAGGGACAGAGAGTTTCATCTATGCTGATGATCATGCCATCACCGCTCAAGCCAGGAGCTTTGAGATGGTAGAACAGAAGCTCTCCGAAGCTCTAGGTGTTCTTACTGCCTATTACAGGGAAAACCAGCTGATCCCTAATCCATCTAAAACACAGACATGTGCCTTTCACCTTAAGAACAGACAAGCATCCCGAGCTCTGAGGATTACCTGGGAAGGAATCCCACTGGAGCATTGCAGCACACCCAAGTACCTGGGAGTCACTCTGGACCATGCTCTGACCTACAAGAAGCACTGCCTGAACATCAAGCAAAAAGTGGGTGCTAGAAACAATATCATACGAAAGCTGACTGGCACAACCTGGGGATCACAACCAGACACAGTGAAGACATCTGCCCTTGTGCTATGCTACTCTGCTGCTGAGTATGCATGCCCAGTGTGGAACACATCTCACCACACTAAAACAGTGGATGTGGCTCTTAATGAGACATGCCGCATTATCACGGGGTGTCTGCGCCCTACACCACTGGAGAAATTATACTGCTTAGCCGGTATTGCAGCACCTGACATCTGCCGGGAAGTAGCAGCCGATAGTGAAAGGACCAAGGCAGGGACATCTCCAGCTCATCTCCTGTTGGGTATCAGCCAGCACGCCAACACTTAAATCAAGAAATAGTTTTCTAAGATCTACAGAGACACTAGCTGGAACACCTCAGCAAGCGAGAGTCCAAAAGTGGCAGGCTCAAACCCAGAACCTCAATCCAAATGAGAGACTCCCCCTTGGCACACAGAAAACTGGGCAACTTGGAAGGGGCTGAACAGACTGCACTCAGGCACCACGAGATGCAGAGCCAACCTCAAGAAATGGGGCCACAAAGTGGAGACCACGACATGCGAGTGTGGAGAAGAGCAAACTACTAATGCAACCTGAGCCCTGCCATGTGCACAATGGAGGACCTTCTTGCAGCAACACCAGAGGCACTCCAAGTGGCCAGCTACTGGTCAAAGGACATTTAATCAACTACCAAAATCACAATTTTTGTATTTGTCTGTTCGTTTGCTTTGTTCTGTTAGAAATGTAATATAATTGACTGGTTGCCCTGACACGACAAATAAATAAATAAATCCTCAAAGGGAGGCAAGGGCCAAGAAGGCCCTGTGATTGGTCCATACGAAGGTAGACAATTACCATAATGTAGGTGTTGGTCCTTTATTTTTCTCTCTTGTAGCTGCTGCGGGAGGTGGGACGGGTCAACTTCACTTTGTTGAACAACGTCATCCAATTTGACGAGAAAGGCGACCCCCCGAACGGCTTCGAAATAGTCCAGTGGCAATGGGACATCCCTGGGAAACCCTTCCGGCGCGTCGCCAAGTATAAGTCCCCACAGGAAGAGCTCCTCGTCTATATGGAGAACATCATCTGGCACACGGAGAACAGCACGGTAAGGCGAAACCTGATCGATTGACTCAGAAGGGGAAGAGAGGAGGAGGAGTGATATCGAGCTAGAATTTGGAGGCTCCTGCCCAGGAGAGAGGAGCCCTTAGACCCACCAAAGAGAGTCCGAAACCCTTGGCAAGCGAAAGAGGAGAAAGGCCCAGAATTTTCCCTGATTTTTCCCAAATAAATCTCACCAAGGTTGAAGAAAAGCCATCAAGGTTTATTTAGCGATCCAGCTGAAAAGGATGCAGAGCTGCAATCATTTGCCAGCAGAGCATAAAGAAATACATTTGATACAGCCATATTTATAGTAAATTCAAAGTTGCAGAGTTCAAACTTCCTGCCCCGGCCCCCCTGCTGCCCTCCACTGTGATTGGACAATGGGCAAACAGCTGGGAGGCGGCCCTCCCATCCCCGGCGCCCCTGGACCAATCAGGAAGCTCCAGCGGTCTGCAGGTTCCAATGGGGAGGCTCCTGACGTCTAGCGGCGATAACAAATCAGGAAAGAGGGAGGCGGGATGAAAGGACACAAAGGAATCTGTGAATGAATGCTAAAAAAAATGCCATGTGGCCGGCGAGACAAAGAGGGAATCTCAAACTAGCCTGATCTATTGTGCTTTGATTGGAATGAATCAACATGTGTAAAGGAAAATCTGGATTTTACTAGCCAGCAGACGTGAGGACAACGAAGGCAAAACTGGGGTGAATGTTCCTTAGTGGGAAGTTACTTAAATCAACCAGTGCAAAGGTGGGGGCTTTTCGAAGGTCCCCTGACCTCCAAGTAGAAAAATGATTAGGGGTCTGCCAGGGGGCAAACAGCATTGTTGGGCAATCCTCCGAGAACAAAGCCACCTGCCAGTTTATTTTTCATGCAAAGGAAATTCTGGATTAAAGTTCTTTAGTGAATGCCTGGGCTCTGCAGTTTCCTGGGGGGATTTCTTCATGAGGAGAAGGGGGAAAAGGTCGGGCTAGGGTCAGGAATACAAGGAAACAAAAAAATCATATAGGAATTATACACAGGGAGATCATATGCAGCTATCTTCCCATCCAGCACCCCAGAGTGAAATTAATAATACCAATTATAAAAAGCAGACAATATCAGGACACAGCATTAATTCATAAGCAGAGGCGGCCCTAGGTAATTTTCAACGGTAAGCAAACAGTATTTTGGCCCCCCCCCCCCCCAACCAATCATTGATATATATTTTCTGTTCGTCGTGGGAGGTCTGTGTGCCATATTTGGTTCAATTCCATCATTGGTGGAGTTCAGAATGCTCTTTGATTGTAGGTGAACTATACATCCCAGTAACTACACTTGCCGCACTTGCTCCCTTGCCTGGCCCGCTTTGGGTCCGGAGGCGTGCCTGAAGACCCCGGCGTGTGCACCAAAAGTCACCTCTTCTCCTTACTTTCTCCTCAGCCATTGGGACCAAGAGAGAGAGAGAGAGAGAGAGAGAGAGAGAGAGAAAGAAGGAGAGAGAGAGAGGTGGAGATGCCCACCTTTCCTGAAGGTAGGTGCAAAAACAAAGGAGGGAGCGGAGGTGGGGCTCTCTCTCTCTCTCTCTCTTGGTCCCAATGGCTGAGGAGAAAGTCAGGAGAAGAGGTGACTTTTGGTGCGCACGCTGGGGCTCCACCCCTTGGCCCACCTGTGGATTGGGGAGAGGAGAGGAGGTGGGTGGAGCGCCGGGGGATCGGGAAAGGGAGCCGGTCATGGGGAAGGGATCGAACGCGGAGAACGATTGAGCGCCGGCTCTGCTCGCGCACCCGGTGGCCGGGTGGAGCAGGAACGAGAGGGGCTAGGCGAGGCTCAAGGGCCCGGCCCCTTTGGGAAGAGGATCGCCCGGCAGCGAGGCAAGAAAGCCGAGGCTCCCCCCGGACTGCTAGGGCTGTTGTGAGCTGAGGGGGCGCTCCTCAAGTGGCGGTCGAGGGGCATTTACAGAGGCGCCTCTGCGCCCCTGGCAAAAAAAAAAGTGTTCTGCGACCGCTTACTTCGCGTAATGGACGAGCCGCCCCTGTTCATAAGTTGTCTTGAAGAAAGTTCATGGGTAGGGAGCGAGTCCTTGAAGAAAGTGAAGTCCAGGAATGTAGCAGAAATCAAAAAGCCACCAAAAGGAGTCTATGGAGTTCCACTGGGCCAAAACACAAAGCCCTGCAGTGCTGGGATGGAAGCCGGTCCCATGGTCCTTGGAAAACTGTAACTCTTTCCATCGGCTGGAGCCCAGGGACCAATCTAGTCCCTGAAACCTCATGGGGTCCTTGCTGTTGTTAGCGTCTTTGCATATTGACCAAGACTCAACCCCTATTGTGCAGTCTGGTGCCCTGGCCCTTTGCGGAACTATAAGTTACTATCTCTTATTTGGGGGCGGGGCATGCTCGGCTTCATCACTTGCCCTAGTTTTCATCTGTGAAATATTGCATGAAATGAAGCACGTATTGCAGTTCCCATTGGGTGTTCATTAAATATAGCAGCCCCCCAGATCGGTCTGTTCAGCGCAGTGCGGACAGGGACAGAGGCGGAAAGTGCTGGGATCCTCCGCTTGCTGCTTCATCTGCGTGGAGTGTGAAGCTGGGACATTCCTCAACAAAAGTGGTATGGTCATCGTCTTATTTAAAAGCAGGATTTATTCATTTAAGATGCTGGGAATGACGAAAGCCTTCAAACACTGGAGATGTGTGTGTGTGTGTGTGTGTGTGTAGGAGCAATAAGGAATCTAATTAACGTGGAAAGCAATTGCAAACCCACTCTGAACCAACCGCGCCAAGAAAACCCATAAGTCAGAAATGACGGTGCCATTTTGTTTTCAGAATTGATTTTGGAGATTATTGTTGCGACACAGAGCAGGAAACGAGACCCTAAGACAACAACCCACCACACTTGACTGTGGCAAATGCAAAGTCAAAAAACCACAGTAAAAATCAGCAATCAGAAATATCCATGAACTAGATCAGCGGTTCTCAACCTGGGGGTTGCGACCCCCAGGGGGGTCGCCTGGCCATTTCGGAGGGGTCCTGTGTTGGCCCTGCCCCAAGGGCACGGGTTCAGAGTGCTATCCAATGTAGGAGAACTACATCTCCCCTAATTCACTTTCACTTCCTCCCAAACCGCTCCAGTATTTTCTGTTGGTCATGGGGGTTCTGTGTGCCAAGTTTGGTCCTGATCTGTCATGCATGGGGGTCTCGGCTGTGGAAGTCAGAGCTGAATTGGTCAAAGGTACTGCAGATACCATCATCTGTTGTCCACACTCTCCCAAACATATTGTTTTTGTGATTAATCACTATGCATTAATTATGTTCAATTTATGACAATGAAATTTATGACATTCTGCATATCGGATATTTATGTGACAATTCATAGCAGTAGCAAAATTACAGTTATGAAATAGCAACACAAATAATGTTATGGTCGTGGGTCACCACAACATGAGCAACTGTATTTAGGGGTCACGGCACTAGAAAGGTTGAGAACCACTGAACTAGATCAAAATACAAAAGCAACACTGTAAAATCCTGGAACCTGTTAGCAATCCACTAACCGTACTTGGAGCACTAGAAGCCTCTTGGGATGAAGGCCACGGGAAACGGGAGATCTCAGTCTAAAACGATGCCTGATCTAAAGAGTCAACCCGGCGAGAGGCACTTAAAGCCGAGGAAACTGTTTCGTGACACGCCTCCAGGCTTTGAAGCCCGTGTTTCTTTTTCTTTCAATCTGGCTGACCTTCGCAGACTCTGTGATTCACCCCTGTTTTGCCAAATCTGTCCTCTTCTATCCTCATTAAGGATCCCAGGTGTTAGCTTCTCTATCACCGCTTGGCTCTGAAACATTCTCATGAGAATGTGTACTTTCACTTTCCAAGCCTGCAGGAGTTTCCTCTACACTGACCGCAGAATCAACATTTTCATTAGCATCAGGAAATACAATCAGAGAATCAGGTTCAGGTTCAGGTTCACACCCAGGCTTATCACACAACGCAGTCGTTCCACATTAACTGTTTATAGAATGCTGGGTTTTGTAGCTTAGTGAGACCGTAGTGATATTTCAAAGGCTCCTTTAAACTGCAAATCCCAGGATTCCACAGGATGCAGCCATAACAGCGCTTTAAGAGGATCGTGTGATAATCTCATCCAGCGCCCTAACGGCTTGCTTTCTTCCCCAGACATCTTCACTTGCCAGAACTGTCCGCACAACACGTGGTCCAACCCGGGCCAGGAGGAGTGTTTCGCCAAAACGGTGGTCTTCTTCTCCTGGCATGATCCCGCCTCGCCGGCCCTCCTCTCCTCTGCTTTTCTGGGGCTCTTGGCCACTTTGGGCATCCTGCTGACTTTCATCCGCCATCATGACACTCCGGTGGTGCGATCCGCTGGTGGGCGGCTCTGCTTCCTCATGCTGGCCGCCCTCGCCACCGGTTTCTGCAGTGTGGCCTTCTACATCGGCGAGCCGACGGAGCTCAAGTGCATTGGGCGCCGGTCCGCTTTTGGCCTCTGCTTCTCCCTCTGCATTGCCTGCATCACCGTCCGCTCCTTCCAGATCATTTGTGTCTTCAAGGTGGCCGCCCGGCTGCCCAGAGCCTATGACTTGTGGAGGAAGTACCATGGGCAGGAGGTCTTTGTGGCCACCATCTTTGCCCTCAAGATAATCATAATGGGGTGCAATGTTTACTTCTACCCTCCGGTGCCAGCCCTGACCGCGGTGAGGCATAACCCGGCGGTCCTCCTTCTGATGTGTTCCCCAGACTACAGGGCTTCCATGGTCCTCAGCAACACCCTGGAGATGTTCTTGTGCTTCCTCTGCTTCTCCTTTGCCTACATGGGGAAAGCCATGCCGAAGAACTACAACGAGGCCAAGTACGTCACCCTGAGTATGACCGGATACTTCAGCTGCTGGGCCACCCTCTTCCTGGTCATGACCCTCTACGACGGGGTGATGGTCAATAAGGTGGATACGACCATCATGCTGACCAACTTGTTCAACATTTGCCTGGGCTATTTCGGGCCCAAGTGCTACGTCATCTTCTTCCGCCCTGAGAGGAACACAGCCGCCTTCTTTCAGACGGCTATCCAGAGCTATACCATGAGGCAGGACTAGGCAGAGATTGCGTCCTGTCAGAGTCCTGTCCAGAGAGTCTCGTATAATGCAGCTAAGCACACAAACGTAGTCCAGAGGCAGCCCTAGGTCAACTCATTCAATAGTCAGACAAGCAAGGAGGAAGCAAGAGGGTAAGCCATACGTCCGTTCCATTATTCTGAAGCCAGGATATTTCCCCAAAACAGTTTCCAAGTATAGTAAGCAATCCGAAATCCAAGGTATAGTCCGTCTTTCAAGATCCAAGAGTAAACACAAAGAACTTCAGGATGCAGCTCCCAACACTGACGTTGCTACCAGCAACCAGCTATTCCAAGCTCCAGCTATTTATGCAGATCTCTCAGGTGATCCTACTTGCTGGCAATCTCTCAAGGGATCATCCAACCCAATGGATCATCCAACTCAATGGAAAATCAATACATTGTCCAACTTACTGGAAACTGAATGGCTTGTCCAACTCAATGGATCTCCCAATTCAATGGAAAAATCAATGGCTTGTTCAACTCAATGGATCGTCCAACTCAATGAAAAATCAATGGTTCATCCAACCCAATGAATTGTATAACTCAATGGAAAATCAATGGATCATCCAACCCAATGGATCTCCCAATTCAATGGAAAAATCAATTGATTGTCCAACTAAATGGAAAATCAATGGATCATCCAACCCAATGGATCTCCCAATTCAATGGAAAAAATCAATGGCTTGTTCAACTCAATGGATCGTCCAACTCAATGAAAAATCAATGGATTGTCCAACCCAATGGAATGTTCTACTCAATGGAAAATCCATGGATCTCCCAACTCAATGAAAAATCAATGGTTCATCCAACCCAATGAATTGTCCAACTCAATGGAAAATCAATGGATGATCCAACCCAATGGATCTCTCAATTAAATGGAAAAACCGATTGATTGTCCAACTAAATGGAAAATCAATGGATCATCCAACCCAATGAATCTCCCAATTCAATGGAAAAAAATCAATGGCTTGTTCAACTCAATGGCTCGTTAACTCAATGGAAACTCAATGGATCATCCAACCCAATGGATCTCCCAATTCAATGGAAAAATCAATAGCTTGTTCAACTCAATGGATTGTCCAACTCAATGAAAAATCAATGGATTGTCCAACCCAATGGAATGTTCTACTCAATGGAAAATCCATGGATCTCCCAAGTCAATAGAAAAATCAATGGCTTGTTCAACTCAACAGATTGTTCAACTCAATGAAAAATCAATGAATTGCCCAATAGATCATCCAACTCAATGGAAAATCAATGCATCATCCAACCCAACGGATCTCGTCAATGGAAAAATCAATGGCTTGTTCAACTCAATGGCTTGTTAACTCAATGGATCGTCCCACTCAATGAAAAATCAATGGATTGTCCAACCCAATGGAATGTCCTACTCAATGGAAAATCCATGGATCTCCCATGTCAATGGAAAAATCAATGGTTTGTTCAACTCAATAGATTGTTCAACTCAATGAAAAATCAGTGCATTGCCCAATAGATCATTCAACTCAATGGAAAATCAATGCATCATCCAACCCAACAGATCATTCAACTCAATGGAAAATCAATGGATCATCCAACTCAATGGAAAAATTAATGGATGGTCCAATGATAATTGAGTTTGATGATCCATTGCTGGCCTAGTTTGGGTGACCAACTGTCTTTGAGTGGGATGACCCCCAGGTTGGCCGCTTGGAGTGGGCCATCCTTTGGTCCAACCGACTCAATGGAAAAGCCAATGGACTTCCTCTCCCTCATTCCTCGCCCTCGGACTCTTTGATGGGGCTGATTATCTGAAAAATTATTATTAAAATTTAGGAAAAATTAAAACTCCTTTGTGAAAACTAGTCTATTGTCTGCTTGAGCCAATCATTAAGAGACTTGCAACTTGATTAGAATATTTATTATTCATTTATATAGAGGCATTTATATATTTACATCTATTTTTATATTATATTAATATGATATATTAATTATATATGATATTAAATAAAATATTAATAAATAAAATTAATTTTATATTATATTAATTATATTAGCTAATATAATTATATTGTATGTTATATTAAATATATTAATTGATGGGATATTAATTATATATGATATTAAATCTGAATATAAATTAATCAAAGAAATTTTATATTATATTAATTAATTATATTAACTAGTATAATTATATTAAATTTTAAATATTATATTAATAATATGATATATTAATTATATATGATATTAAATAAAATATAATTAAAAAAATAAATTTTATATTATATTAATTATATTAACTAATATAATTATATTATATATTATATTAAAATATTATTAATATGATATATTAATTATATATGATATTAAATATAAATAAATAAATAAAAGAAATTTTATTATTATATTATTAATTATATTAACTAATATAATTATATTATATAATATATATATTAATTATATATTATTAAATATAAATATAATAAATAAAATAAATATTTATATTATGTATATTAACTAATATAATTATATTATATATATTAATATAATTAATATGATATATTAATAATATATATTAAATATAAATATAAATAAATAAAATAAATATTATATTATTTATTAATTATATTTATAAATTATATTATTATTTTAATTATATTCATTAATATAATAATAAATTATATTAAATAAATATAAATATAAATAAATAAAATAAATGTTATATTATATTAATTAATTATATTAATGAATATAATATAATTATATATTATATTAATAAATATGATATATTAATTATATATGATATTAAATAGAAATATGGTTAAAATTTTATATTATATTAATTAAGATGAATGCTCATAATTATATTATTATATTAATTAATATGATTTTAAATATAAATATAAATAAATAAAAGAAATATTATATTATATCAATTAATTATATTAACTAATATAATTACATTATAGCATATAAACATTATATTAAATATAGTATCTATATATTATACATTTATATGGATGCAAAATGGAATCAGCTATTTGAATTCTATTTCAAAATATTTCAAAATATTTTTCAAAGTGCGTCTATACTGTAACTTAACTCACTTTCACACCGCTTTAACTGCCAGGGCTTAATACTATGGAGCCATTGCTTTGGACTTCAACTCCCAGAATTCCTGCTCAGTGGCAGCGGCGGCCGAGGCTTCTGGGAGTTGAAGTCCTTCCCCGCTGAAGAGCTTGAAAGAGATTGGCCGGGAATGGTTTCCAAGGCAACGGTGGCGCCCGCCATCTTGGTTGAGGGCCGAAAACGTTCGAAATGGCCGCCATTTTGGAAGAGGGCGCGCAGGCACACATTGGAAAGGCTTGAGGAGGCAAGGGAAGGGGGAGTGGCTACGTTATTGCACCATCGGGTGTTTTAAATAAAAGGGGGCGTGGCGACGTCGGCGAGGCCCCGCCCACTCCTGTACTGCCCTGCCTCGTGGCTTCACAGACCCTTCTCCTCCGCCTGAAAGCAGGGAAACCAACTCCCCCCATTTGGGAAGTGGAACATGCCAGAGAGCAGGTAAGCGCCGCTGAAGCCAACGCGCCTGCGCAGTGGACGAGTCCATTTCTGTGACAGATGAGGGGGGGAAAGGCTCAGAAAGAGATAAGGGAAAAGAAGAACGGGAAGCAAGCAAGGAAGAAATATTCTCTTCAGACATCCATAAATAACATACTAAAATATATAAATATGTTTGGGAAATATCTATATAATATTAAAATATTTAATATATATATTGCTATATTTAATATTTAAATATGATATTAACGCATATATTCTATGAAAATTATCTCTATAATGTACTAATTGACAAATCCGATGTATATCTGCTTTGAAAATGGGCGATGCGCCTCATCTATTATTATTATTTATTATATTATTGGAATATAATAATGTAAGGGCTCTGATTGGTGGGAATATGGCAGAAAGTCCCGCCCCCTTCTGATTGGCAGCCCGGGCACTGAGTGACAAGGGAAGCCCCGCCTCCGCAGGGGAGTCCCGGCCTCCTATTGGCTGGGAGGCAGCCAGAAGGCAGCCCAGTGGAAGACAAGGCAAGCTGGATTGGGAAACTCAGCCTAGAAGCCTGGATTTGGGGGTTCCCATTGGGGGACATGGAGGCTGCAAGGAGGAACCCCCCAGGAAAGTGGGCCAGGGACAGCAGGTATTTGCATTATTATTCATTAATATTATGATGTTATGAATATTATTATATTATTATAATATTTAATTTTAATATTATTATGTTATTATATTATCACATTAATATATGATCATCATAATTATATTAGAATCATAGAATCCTAGAGTTGGAAGGGACCTCATGGGCCATCCAGTCCAACCCCATTCTGCCAAGAAGCAGGAATGTTGCATTCAAAGCACCCCCGACAGATGGCCATCCAGCCTCTGTTTAAAAGCTTCCAAAGAAGGAGCCTCCACCATACTCCTGGGCAGAGAGTTCCACTGCTGAACGGCTCTCACAGTCAGGAAGTTCTTCCTCATGTTCAGATGGAATCTCCTCTCTTGTAGTTTGAAGCCATTGTTCCGCATCCTAGTCTCCAAACAGACTTGCTCCCTCCTCCCTGTGACTTCCTCTCACATATTTATACATGGCTATCATATCATAAGGCAATGCTCAAGATCCCGCAAGGAAGACTCCAGCAAGACATGGAGCGAGAGTTGCCAGATGTTCAAGCTGGGTTTAGAAAAGGCAGAGGAACGAGAGACCAGATTGCCAACATCCGCTGGAGAATGGAGAAAGGCAGGGAGTTTCAGAAAAACATCTATTTCTGCTTCATTGACTATTCTAAAGCCTTTGACTGTGTGGATCATAATAAATTGTGGCAAGTTCTTGGTGGGATGGGCATCCCAAGCCCCCTTCCCTCTCTCCTGAGGAATCTGTACAAGGACCAAGTAGCCACAGTCAGAACTGACCACGGAACAGGAGACGGGTTCAAGATTGGGAAAGGCGTCCGGCAAGGCTGCATACTCTCACCCAACCTTTTAACTTGTATGCAGAACACATCATGCGAGGGTGTGCGGGGCTTGAGGAATGCAAAGCTGGGGTGAAAATGGCTGGAAGAAACATTAACAACCTCAGATATGCAGATGACACCACTCTGATGGCCGAAAGCGAGGAGGAGCTGAGGAGCCTTCTAATCAAGGTGAAAGAAGAAAGCGCAAAAGCTGGGTTGCAGCTAAACATAAAAAAAACCAAGATTATGGCAACAAGAATGATTGACAACTGGGAAATAGAGGGAGAAAAGGTGGAGGCCGTGACAGACTTTGTATTTCTAGGTGCAAAGATGACTGCAGATGCAGACTGTGGCCAGGAAATCAGAAGACGCTTCCTTCTTGGGAGGAGAGCAATGTCCAGTCTCGATAAAATAGTAAAGAGTAGAGACATCAGACTGGCAACAAAGATCCATTGCCTAGTCCAAGCCATGGTCTTCCCTGTAGTCACCTACGGATGTGAGAGCTGGACCTTAGGGAAGGCTGAGCGAAGGAAGATCGATGCTTTTGAGCTGTGGTGTTGGAGGAAAGTTCTGAGAGTGCCTTGGACTGCGAGAAGATCCAACCAGTCCATCCTCCAGGAAATAAAGCCCGGCTGCTCACTGGAGGGAAGGAGACTAGAGACAAAGT